AAAAAAAAAGTGTTTCACATTGATTTTTATATATCCTGCTGTTAAATCTATGGAATCTATGGTTTAAAAAAAAATGTTTTTTAAAAGACAAGTTTCTGTCATTTGAATAAAGAATAAACAATATGATATTTGATACCTTGATTAGAGTACAACGAAACCTTAATACAATTGTGATACAAATTTAATTCATAATCCATCATTTGTGTCCATGTATGTACTATGAATCCATAAAACAATTTGAATATTTACATGGCTGTTTTTTGTCAATTTATTTTGTCAGCTTTCCATGTAAAGAAGTAGACAATTCTTTATCTCAATAACCATACCTTCAGCAGCTACCATCTTTCCATTCTGAATATCTATGATATGGTTTACTTGTGTCCAATCCAGTTTACTTTGAGTAAATAAAATATGTTTAAACTAAACTATGATACTGACGAGTAAATTTACAAATCGTAAAAACAAGTTGCTTTAAAAAAAAAAAAAAAGACAATACGTGAACCTTAGAACTTTTTTATTCTAATTATTAATTCAAATGAATAAGAAATTATATATCAGTGTTATCTTGGCCATGTGTGTGGAGGATAATATTTTCTTTTTATTGTAAATCATTACAATTTTGGCATGTTGAGAGAAGTGTTAAATATATAGCAAGGAGAGAGAAAAAAAGATTCCCAGACGTATAATTTCTTAAAGAATAATAATAATTCAAAACATGGAGGACATATGTACCTTCTTCCAAAAATTCATAAAATTAATCTAGAAATAAGTAATGAGGCATTGCGAACTGGTCAGCTAGCAGGACACATTAATGTTCGTTACCGAACAATCATCAATAAGTGTAACTCTCCCGCGAGAGATACTTACTTGATCTAATTATAAATATAAAAAAGAAGATGTGGTATGATTGTAAATGAGACAACTCTCCACAAGAGACGAAATGACACAGAAATTAACAACTATAGGTCACCGTACGGCCTTCAACAATGAACAAAGCCCATACCGCTATAGTCAGCTATAAAAGGTCCCGAAATGACAAATGTAAAACAATTCAAACGAGAAAACTAACGGCCTAATTTATGTACAAAAAATGAACAAAAAATAAATATGTAACACATCAACAAACGACAACCACCAGGCTCCTGATTTGGGACAGGCACATACATACAGAATGTAGCGGGGTTAAACATGTTAGCGGGATCCCAACCCTCCCCTAACCTGGGACAGTGGTGTAACAGTACAACATAAGAACGAACTATAAAAATCAGTTGAAAAAGGCTCAACTCATCAGATGGATACAAACAGAAATACTACACAGAGTGGACGTGGCCGGATACTTGTATATCCCAACAACAAACAGACACTAAGTACAGGTCTGAGAGTACTCGCGGTTACTGACAGCTAGTTCAAAGCCACTAACAACTAATTAAAAAAATCATGCATCTTAGACTAAATTATCAATCCGTACACATCCAACATCCAATTATTGAAGAGGCATAACTTTTACATTCAAGATACAAAAAATTTCATTAATAAAATAGAGTCACACGAGGTAAACAAAGTATGCATTCTTATTGCCTACGATGTACGTCAATGTACACAAATATGATCATTGATAATTTAGAAGAAACTGTTATCAATGCATTAGAATTTATTGACACACAGGAGAATATACTTTAAAGATTATCAAGAAAATAGATTTAACTGCATTTGTTAAATTAATTCTTAGAAACAATGAATTTGAGTTTAATGGACTGTTATACAAACACATTATAGGAGCGCCCATGGGTGGTATATTGTCACCAACATGCACAGATCTGCCTCTGTCTGTCCTATTCATTAAAATCTTAGATAAGTTCCAATGGAGAGAAAACATCAAATTACACTGTCAATAGGGATGACGATTTTATGGTCGTCACAGGCAAATTAGAGCAAGTTGAAGATTTCTTTAAATTTGCAAACGAAATTGACCATCTACTTAAGTTCTAATACTAAGTATGAGGTGTCGACATCTAGTATGGCCTATTTAGAGGGTGGTAAAAGGTTATTTTCGTGCAACGTTTTCGGCCTTTTTATTTTACGTGTTTCCGTGTTTCGACGTTTTATTTCTCGTTTTCTCGTGTTTGGTTCGATGTGCGTGCTTCGTGTTTTCCCTTAATTATTTTCCGTGTTTCGTGTCGGTACTCTTATTTTCTCGTGCTTGTCCCGCATTTGATTAAAAAGTAAACCGGAACTAATTCAAAGTCAGCCCAATTATTGATTTAAATCATAAACTAACTAACTGGTCCCAAGATATTTATTAATAGCCTATTGTATTACTATGATAAATCGGATGCAACTAACGGACGCTTAAAGGTGACCACATGCAGGGTCGCCATGTCCATTTATAATGACTGCATGATCTCCAAGAACGGCTGAGTAATAACTTTTGGTACTTTTTTCCTAAACATTTACGATTTTATTCCTTGGCTTCGTTTTTCCAGAGTGTTTTTTTTTCCGTGCAACGTTTTTGCGATTTTTTATTTCACGTGTTTCCGTGTTCAGACCCTCCCTTTTTACCACCCTCTATTTAGATACCGAAGTGTACAAAAGTGAACGATTCCATAATAATGGAATACTAGATGTTAAGTCACATATATTAAAAACACAGACACGTATCAATATTTACCAATCACTAGTGCACATCCAAAACACACATAAATTTAAGAGCATTACAGTGTGTGAATAATATAAGAAATTTCTACTTCTACCATTACATGTAAGTGACCACCGTCATTTGGTTGACTTTCCTGTCACTGTTTGGTATGCGTTTGCATACTAAACAAGTCCAAAAATAATTTTAACAGAAAGGAAATAATTTGTGCTGTACATAACATTTATACATGGTGCAAATAAAAACATGGGACTTGAAATTTAATGTGCATGCAGTAGTCTCTTGAATGAGTCAAGACTTTTTGCAGCGGTCACTGAAATAATAGTGACATCAATGAATTAAATAAACATTTAATTAACTTACAAGATAACTTAATTGATAGAGAATACTGTAAAAGGAAACAGTAAAAGTTGTAAAAATGTATATTAACGAACAGTCTTTATTTTACTTGTTTTATTTTCATTTGAAACAGATTTTTTTTATCTAATTTGTCAAAATGACAAGTGTGCATAATGATTTTATTGTTACAAATCAAATCCCATAGAAACCACAGCACTATTTTAAAATATCTCTCTGTGAATATCTAGACACAGATGTTTGATACCATAGGTCGTTATAATTAAATCTTGACCATTTAACTTTCACTTGTTTATCAAAGGGTTCAACTGTCAACTTTGCTCAAGTCAGTAAACCCTTGCAATGCATAAAATGTAGCTTTACAATGAATATACATGTTTGAAAAGGATCTATAGATTGTTTATTATCACATATCAGATAAGTGAATTAGCGATCTGTGAAAATTCTTTATTGCCATGTTTAAAATATCTTAGATACACCGTATGGCGGTGCTCTTAATTGCAGGAAACTAATACAGATAAGATGAATAGGTGTTCCGAATGAACCGTGAATAATTTAGCTTCCGAATATTCCTCCATAGACTATATTTCTAACTGATATATATGCGTGAACCCCTGAGGGTTCACGCAATTATATTTATCGAGATAATGAACTCCGCTTTACAGACACATGTGTAAATATGTTCTAAATTGGCTCTAAATTTCATAGTATAAACCTTTCCATAGACTAAACGTTACTACTCGAGTTGTGAGTATGTACTAAATTGAATAGTCAATGAAAAGGTAAATAATATAGAATTACTCGGGCAAGCCCCTGTCTCTAAATTCCATGGTATATAATTTGTCTTAGTCTAACCGTTACGAGTGAAAATATGAGATGGTTTGTCGGAAAGTGCTTATTTTACCGAAAACACCTTTTTGAGGATTTCCTTACGGCAATGCTCGCAATAAAAGGCTTCAGACGGAATGAATTTAGTGATACATAAGATTGAGGACCATGGAATTGAGTTGATCCACAAGAACGTATATAAGACATGACGCATTGGTGTACACATTACGACGTCTGTTCTCCAGGTACGGACAACGAATGATTTTTAAATTGTTCCTTATATTTATACCAGTTGATGTGTATTCTTCAAATTTTGTACACACATTTAAGAAAAAACATTTTTTTCCTGTGATTATATTCAATAGGTTTGATATATATATAAAACTAACATTACGGATATCCCTCTTACATCGTAATTATGTCTTATTACTAGTAATTTAAACAATAAAATTCAAGATCTAAATTATTGATTATCATATCAAAATGAATGTTATTTATTACCACAGTTCATTAATCCAGAATTACCCTGGTAATACAATATCAAAGTCCACATTGATAGCACAGCCTAGATTAACGACAGGAAGTTAACAGATGTTCGTATGGCGTCAGACAACTTTCAGAAAGGACCCAATCGGGAAACTCAATTTCTTGAAAAGCCGGGTCAAACAAAGGGAAAATGGTGACATTGGAATTGCAATTAAAAAATACCTATCTGTAAATGAAAAGGATAGGAAAGATTATTTCAGCCATATCAAGTTATATTGGTATAAAGTTAACAAATGTACACAAACCACTTGTATTACATTGCATTGACATTCAAGGATATGTAGTAATGGATTTGATTATTTTCTATGCATTGTCTTCATCCCAGAATAAGAAATATTCTAAGTCGTATAATAACTGACTCCAATAATATATTCATAATATATAATCATATTTGTATTGATATTTTGATATGAATTGATAAAATAAACCAGCAAATATACCATTGATACCCACTTGGGTTTATCAGTACTGTACTTTATTTATTTACATCGGGTAAAATAAGTTATGACTCGTGTGATACTTATATATCACTGAACACCTTAACATTACCTCATTCAACCTCGGATTTATCGATCTGGTTGCTTGAAATATGAAGAGTGTGATGTTTATTAAAAAGAGATATTCAGGTTTTGTATAACTATATCTAGACAATGGTTGCATCAGACGATTTTTTCCTTAGTTTAGCTAAAGGACTTATAGCATGGAGTGCATTTCTGTTCGCATCTTTACTATTTACAGAAGCAAAGTACGGACGATATGCCGAGAATAGTTTTTACGTCATGAACGGCAAATTAGGATGGTTTATTCAAGAGCTCCCAGCTTTAATAGTACCTATTTTGCTTTTATGCTTTACAGAGTGTCATGGAATATTATACAATTGTAATAGAGCTTTGTTGACTTTGTACATCATACATTACGTACATAGGTAAGCTGATTATTTTTATGTTAAATCCACATTATTTTAATATTTAGTCTTGCCGAATCTAGTTTGGACAGTCAAGATTTAATAAGATAATACTGTGTCACAAAAATTGACTGAAATCCTTCTCATATTTTGTATATATATATATCACTCTAGAATTAGTGAAAAGTTAAAAATTACTAGGAGAGATCAATAAAGAGAAATGGATGGTTAAAAGAGAGGCGAAAGATACCGAAGGGACATTCAAACTCATAAGTCGAAAGTAAACTGACAACGCCATGACAACCAAAAAAAAAAAAAAGGATAAAGAACAAAACATGCAAAAGACAAACAACAATACACAAAACACAACATAGAAAACTAAAGAATTAGCAACACGACCAAAAACTGAGCCTGAGCAACACGACCAAAACTAAAGACTGAGCAACCCCACCAAAAACCGGGGGGTGATCTCAGGTGCTCCGGAAGGGTAAACAGGTCCTGCACCCGTCGTGTTGCTCATGTAAGTTAAAAACCTGGTGATAAGTCAAATACGGTAGGTCACCATTGGGGAAAAGAGTACGGCATTGTGGTTTCAGACAATTGGGACATATCCGTCGTCCTCTGTGAAACATATATTCTCTAACAGTCAACCACTTCGTGATGGCGTCCGCAAAATTTACGAAGGGACTTCACCACTTGGAATTCTTGGTTTAATAGCGTCCTTGTGAGCAGCAGCCCCTTATCAAGGAAATCATGATAGATAATACAAGCCCTGGCATATCATTTCAACTGGGAGATATATACTCCGTATGCAGGCGCTGCTGGAATGTTGCTACATTGAAAGTTCACAATTGGGAAGCTGAAATCATCTCTTTTGTCGTAAAAATTTCTTTGTCAATTTCTAGATGTAGGTCAAGATATGAGGCAGACTTAACTGTATATGTTGTATCCTTTATCTCAAGTTCGATGGGATAGATGCGTTCAACATAGTCGCAAAACTTTGAATTATTTAGTCAGAGAATATCATCTATATAGCGGAAATTGAAGTTAAAGGATAATGCCAACTTCTCAGAAGCTCCTGTATGAAGTTAACCTCATATTGATAAAGGAACAAGTCGACAAGAAGAGGAGCACAGTTTGTTCCCATTGGAATGTCGATTGTTTGTTTGTCCTTCAAACGTAACAAAAATGTCAATCAAGAAATCAAGCATCTTAATAATGTCAGTTTAAGTGAATTTTTTGTTTGAATCAGAGTAATTTTTTACAAAGTATGATTTATCCTTTCCTAAGACAAGATACTTGTATCTACGTTGGCCATTTCTTTATGAAACAAAGCAGTTGTTGTCATTATTTGCATGACTACATAAACTAATTACTGCTGTTGAATAACAAGACATTTTCGAAAAGTCAACTACACGGGTACTTATACCGACACCGACACCGATACCTACACTGACTAAAACTAGAGGGACCGAATCAAAATGTCGAAATATATCGAATGAATGACCTTGTAAAACTTGGTTGAACTCAGCAGAGGTAAAAAATATATATTTTGTAATTGGTTTTTATTTATTTTTATATTCGGAGCGGAACTAGAAAGACCGAGTGCTCTCATTAGTTAAGATATTTTCTTGTGATGAATTTGTAATATTCCATCTGGTTTATCTAATTGTCTCAGAAAAAAATACATATATATCTTAATACAACGTATATCGGTTATTTCACAAGTGCTTGTGAATTGTCTCAATCAACGAGTCCAAACTTGGTTTTCTATGTTTGCAACCGTTCACGATGCTATTAATGTATGTATCCCAGTTTGCAGAGATTAAAAGGATCACTTATTACATTGCCAAATCAATGAATGTAGGTATTTTCGGGGAAATGGTTAAAATTATCATTGGCAGTTGGCGCAATTGATGGGACATGCATGTGCATAAATATATAGTCTGACAACAGAGCCGCAACAGCAATTTTTTTCCGGTCACCGTCGATATAGCCGTATACACACTCAAGTTGTTTTTAATCCTTTCGGTGATATACTCTATATTCAATCTGGTTTCCTTGGACACCAGAACGACGCCCAACAGTTAATGCTAATACGACAAATAGGTCAGGAATTGGCTTTTTCAGATCACTGTTTTTTTAGCAGACAAAATTTATCCAAATCGGTATCCTATAGTGACGCCATATACACGGCAGAAAATCGCTCAACAACCTGCAATAGACTTTTAACGGAATGATGTTTTATGATAGAAAATACAATCGGCGAATTGAAGTGCTATAAAGCATTTGGGACACTTTGGAGACTCCACGGAACAAATATTATGCCATTAGTGATATATCTGTGAAGGCTTAGTTTACCGTCAACGTCAGCTGTTCTGCTAAATAAACCATCATATCATTAATACATATTTATACGTTATGTTTCACGCTATAAAATTAATTTACACGTTCCCGTTTTTGTGTGAAGTTCTACTGATTGTCACTTCTTTTTTACCAAGTACAATATATGAAGATAGGTAAAATCTCAGCTACTGAACAGAGCCAATGAACCAACAAATCATTGAAAATTAATTTTTTATTCAATTTAAAATGTAAATCAGAAAAAAATATAATATAAATGCATGTGGTCATTGTACACCTTGAGATGACCCGTTCTCAAAAAGGTCACCTGTCGTCCTATGCGTAGGTGTAAGCGTCAGTATCGATTAGTTTTCGAAAATGTAGAATAAGTGCATGATTTTGTTTATGTAGGTTCGTCATTGTGCAATGGACCATATGATTACGTGTTTTTTTTAGACATCAACATCTTCGAACCCCGGCCGGGTCAAACCAAAGACTTTAAAATTGGTATTTGCGCGGCATTAAGGAGTAAGAGCAAAGTGTGGTCGGTTCGGAGTCAGAATAATGTGTCCGGGTAAGGTGATATGTCTTCCTGTGGACTGCTACCTTGTGAACTTGCACGTTAAAAATCCGGCTCAGCGTGTCGGTCTAGTACAAATCAAGGTTAATATTCAAATTACATTAATATGTTCTCGTCCTAAATATGCACATTAATTTGCCACTGGACGTTAAGCAGCTATCCATCATTATCATCATCCCTTAAAGCAAACCATAAGAGCCAATTATAAGCCTGTACTGGGTCTCAGCTGGTATCCACCTTGTATTTCCTTCTTTCTAGGTAAGGTCAGTTAAGGACATTATCTTGTAAAATTATAATGAACATTCATTTTACTTACATAATCATTTGTTTTCAGAATTTTCATATATCCGTTTTATTTGAAAGGAAAGCCACTTCCACTTTACATGGTAGTTTTAGCATTTATGTTTTGTTTGTTTAATGGCTATCTGCAAAGTGGGTACTTACTATACAGTGCTGAGTATAGAGACGAATGGATCACTTGTCCGCAGCTCATCATAGGTACGTTATAAAGTTTATAGTTTTTATCCATTGTTTATATGAACATGGAGGGGTGTGTTTGGGTTGTCATCTATGATCATTCGAGACTAGAGCATAGAAAAAAACAACGACAATAACTGAACATTTTGCCTTTGCTTTCTTCGGGCAGGCTAAAAAACTCACTAGAGTAAACAGAGTTCTGAATAAATCAAGTCTTTTGTAGAATAACAACAGTATAAAGTAAAGTAAAGTAATCTTTGTTCAAAGTCAGGTTTATATATATACAATCAACATAGAACATGAGCTCTTTAGATCTCTTTAACCGACTGATATATAATAACAGGATCAATCGTTAAATATCAACATATACATTTACAGCCCATACAATCAATTAAAGCAGAACATAAGAATACATAGCACATGCAACATACAAAGCAAAGCAGCATGTATAAAACACACATAAAAGCATGCTATATTAAGGGAGCTACCATTTTATTTTTGTCGGGGGGCTAGGATGAAAAATTTTGTCCTGCATTTTTTTTAGTTGAAATTCCTTTTTATTTTTCACTCTATTCGGTCCTGCCTTTTTTATTAGTTTATCCTGACTTTTTTACATAAATTGTCATCCTGCCTTTTTTTTTTGACAAGTTGCTCATCCTGCCCTTTTTTTTAACTCAAAACTCCTGTCCTGCCTTTTTCCAAATTTCATCCTACCCCTCCCCCCCTAAAAATCAAATGGTAGCTCCCTAATACAGACAATTTGAGACAAAGCACATGCAATGTAAATGAGCACATACAAGCAATAAAACATATCACACATGCACTAGTAAAACACGAGCACATGAATGTAAGCAACTAAAGCACAGTTTCAGCATCAGTAAAATAGTTATAGCTGAAGACAGCAAATTATAATAGATAAAGTTCAAAGATAAAAAAGGTAAATAAAGGTATATAAAGCTCAATCAGGCTTAAAAGATTAATTCTGAGGCAGCAAGAGATGTCATTATTTGCATGAGCTACAGGTAAAAATTCTGAAAAACACCAAGTGAAAATAAAAATTTTGAACTGGCCAAAGGATGATAGACTCCTTGCCTTATTAGGCATGAGTTCCATAGTCTTGCTGTTTTTGCAATAATAGCTAATGCAAAATATGTAAAGCAAGATTGCAAAGGTCCGAATAAATGGTAGGAAATCTGCAAATACAAAAAGCTTCAACCAGAAAGAGATAATTGTACGAAATCACACATTAGAAATACAAAATTACAATACGTGTCGATTCTGATCATTCATTTTTTTCAACGAAAGAAGCATGAAATTGAAATATTTATTTGTAATAAAACCGAATTACTCAAGGCAAGGATTTGTATAGTGAGAGTCTCACTATACAAATCCTTGCTCAAGGTGTATGCAAATATTTATACGTCAAAATTAAGAAACGAATTATGTATTTCATTTAAAATGCAATGTTTTACATTGTACGGGATTTTTCGAGAGCGACATTTAAAATATATTGTTAAAAGATGGTATTTTAGATATACGTCAAGCTGAGATCTCAGCGTCAAGGAACTGAGTAAATTGGTCACAGATTTTCGTAAAATTGCATGAAAAAGTTCTTTATTAGTTGAGGACGTACGTAAAATCTATCAGAAACTTTGGCAACATTAGTCTTAAAATACATTTAATGTTAATTTAACATGTTTAATAGGACAAAATAGTTGATTGTATTTCATCCGGAAGAAGCTTGCACTTGCTCACTCGAGAAGATATCGAAAATAAAGTCATTCCCCATCACGCATGCGCAGAACCCATTTTGGGTTACATAAATTAGTTTTGCGGATCATTCACATCTTATATATTATATCATTTTATCAAAGAAGAAATAATTGGTAACTATTAAAAACAACTCCGTTAAACGTAAGTCCTATTGACGTGAGCTCTCACCCCTTTCGATTTATATAAACTTTAGATTTTACGTTTCTAAGTTATGTGGTTTTATTCATTAAAAAGGGGGATTTTCCAGTTTTCGGACAATAACTCAAAAGGTTCTTTGAGCAGTTTTCATGAATCTTTGGTGACTGGTTTATATCTATTAAAATAACCTCACTTTAGTTTTTTTTTTTTTTTTTATAAATTTCTGATATGACATTGAGGAGTTATGGAACTTTATTTTTTGAAAAAGCGACGGGCGTATCATGCGCTCATGTCGCAGTCTTTATTCTCATTGTCGAGGGCTGTACAGTTGCCTATGATTGCTTATATCTACTTCATTTGATATTGGGTGGATAGTTGTCTCATTGGAAAATATCTCCTTATTTTCATATGTAATAAAATTATTTGAAAACAATAAACTCTGCGTCTGTTTATTTATCATTCTACATTAGAAATATATGACAGATACAGTGAAAACGGTATTTCAGGATCCGCACTTTAAAATTGGTACCGTTTATATTCTTGTTTACACTGAAAACACTCGTACAACATCTAATTGTTTTATCCGCCAATTTCTAGGCATGAACATTGAGGACGAAGCTAAATTAGTGCCGATGTATTACATGTTTACTCGAATGATACGGCACAATTGACAATACACTCTCAAATAAAACATACGACAATGTCCTGTATCAAATCTAACATCTCAAGCTTTAGTTTTAATACATATTGTTTATTTTAGGTTTAGTCATGTTTATATCGGGACTTGGAATAAACATCCATTCTGATCATATTTTGAGAAATCTCAGAAAACCTGGAGAGACTGGATACAAAATACCAAAAGGTATAACAAAAAATGGTTTCTAAATAAAACAGTATGGAGTTGTTAACGGTTATCAGATTTTTCGTCGGAAGGACCGAATATCCAATACCAAAAAACGTTAACCGGATAATAGGAGCTTTTTCAATTTTGATAAATTTGATATTGATGTATATTGTAATTCTGAAGTTTATTTATTACTTGATAAACAATGAAAACATTCCAATTTTAACTAGTCAACTAGCACAAAGACATCTTGTGAATCAGGGCGGAAATGTATAAATGCAAAACATACACATCCATTGAGTCTTGCACGATCATATGTTATAAACGAAATGCTGATTAAAAATAGTGTAAAATGCAAATTTAGTTTAAGGAAAATTGCAAGGTTAACTGTATGAATAAGTGAGCTCTTTTAAAACACAAAGAACTCATAGTTTTATCGGGACTGACACTGTTAAAGGCCAATTGTTGTGCCGAAATATATCTGTCCATACGATTTCATTCATCTTGTTCGTGTATTTTTTTTTTTTTATCTTTTATCTATTTTCTATTCAAGGAAATGCCTGTACCAAGTCAGGAATATTACATCCCAGCTCTTTTGTTCTACCAGGGGTGATCTGAGCCGGATCACCCCTACCAGATCACCCTAGCATGGGTATCTTTGTTCTGCATGCTTTCCTTTGTTCTGTATCATTTTGGTGGAAATGTCAAATTTATACTAAAACTTAGAAATATTTATACTTCTAGTGTAAATAGACTAACTATCAAAATTTATGTTGAAAAATTCAGTGTCTATGCTGGGAATCGAACTCAAAACCTTTAGCATATAGACACACGAGTCATACCCCTACACCATCACGACTGGATACAAATCAATGTTAATTTAACATATTTAAACATTGTGTCCGGGGCTCATAAAGGTATATAACATATAGTAATATATAAAGTATATAATAATGATTGTGTGGCGTTCTAAACTAGATTTTATGAAGCGTAAATGTTTTTTTTTATCTAATCTAGAATAGCTGGGATGCAAAATAGTTATCCCATTCTGACTTGGTGTGTCAGTGTTAGATCACCCTCTGCCCTCCGGCCATCGGGATGATCTTACACTGACACACCGCGTCCTCATGAGATAACTATTACTGACAGTTGTTTTCCATTCGTTTTATAGGTTAGACAATACTTGGTCATGTTTTATGAAGATTTAAAGCCGAAGGCGTAGCCGAGGGCTTTATATCTTCATAAAACATGACCAAGTATTGTCAGACCAATTTAGAACATATTCACACTTTCGAGTGACCTTACAAAATTATCCTTTCCCATTGTAATATTCAAAACTAAATACGAATTCACTTTTTATAATGAAGTGAGTATATAACATAGGTAATGACCATTGCAATGGATGGAATGAAATAGCACTGACATAGTTTGTGAGGACAAAAAGGATAAATTGTTCCTTCAAACATTTGAGTTTTTCTTCTGCATCAGGTAAAAATTTAATACTTATATACCTTAAATTATTGATTTTAATTAGCACACAATGTAATATCAATCCGCTTTCTGAAAATTGAATATTTTTTGATAATTATAAAACTTACTCTATAAATATTTGAATTACGACCATTCAATGTCAGTTGCTTACTTTTTATTGATGAATGTACATGTATTGTGGGTTTATTTTCTCAAAAAATCCTTTGATTTATATATCAGCAGTCTGACATTGTTTTCTTGAAAAAAATAATCGACTCGAATGTCTGATATAAAAATTGTATAAAAGATAATTTTACCTATATATTTGCCCCCATTTTATTTTCTTTTTTGTTTGTTATACATACGTACCATTAATATAAAGATTTGCAATGATCAAAATGTTTTTTTATAATTCTTTTCTCTTTCATCTTTAATCAGTAGGCTATTTTCCCAAGAAAAATGCCTCATGTGATTGTACACTTCGTTAGTGAAGTTATTAAGAGTTCACTTTCATAATTAATCTACAATGAAAAGTCATTCATGTATAGCATTTTATAGTGCATGGAAAGCCATGTACTATGAAAATTAGAAGGGAAAAACTAACTTTTCATTGGACGAGAAGGGGTCAGTATGTTCTAATCATGTGTTTGGGACTTTCTGTTTTGAATTTTCCTTGGAGTTTGGTATTTTGTTATTTTACTTTTTATCAGTATCTTTGCACAAACCTTATGACTAATTATTGTAAATATAATAATTAGTCTTAAGGTTTGAACGACGATACTGATATAAGATAAATGAAATACATGACAAGATGGAATTCTATATTCTTTATTTCAGGAGGAATGTTTGACTACATTTCTGGTGCTAATTTTTTCGGAGAAATTTTAGAATGGTGGGGATTTGCCGTCGCTTGTAACTCATTACCAGCTTTAGCATTTGCTATATCAACCTCCTGTAATCTCGGGCCTAGAGCTGTTCACCATCACAGGTAAAATCTTATAAAACCGCCATAACAGTACTACTAAAACGATCTCCATTCTAAGGACTAGAATTACTGGAATTTGATATTAAACCGGGTTTTTAAGACACTTTTGTAGTCTGAAATGCAAATGTTCTTATCATTTCCTTTGTGGTCTTCTTCTTTTATTTTTTTTTTCAAAAGTTCCATTTGAAGTGAGCAATCTACGATTTATAGATCAATATGTAATTCAAAAGTCACATCATATATTTAATATATATTTGAAGTATAAACCTATACTAAACCGCAGATACTTCGGGACAGGAAAATTTTGCCCTCGCCTTATTTGCTAAAATTCATTTCGTTCTTGTTTTCTATTAATTTCAATTGTTTTAGTGTTTTTTCTATGTTAGACTTACATAATTACACTAGAAATATAACATTTTTTAACTTTTTACTACTAGTATATCAATTGTTAGTGTACTATCCATAGAGGTCACTAATAATATATAGAAAGAAGGTATATCAATTCATACCTTTTTGATGATGTCATTCGCATAAACTTTACAATCTAAAAATAAAAATAACATTGATTTTTTATGAAATTAATTTCACAAAGTTAATTTGAAGAATAAAGGCATACAAAGTTTATAATTTGATACAGGGTGTGTAAACAATATCACGTAACCTCTAAAACGAATTTGGGGTTTCAAAAACTATAATGGTTTCGGCAATGAAAAGATGTTTTGTATATACAACTTTCTTTTTTTTTTTGAGGTTCTGATAAAGAGGGGGGTTCCGGTGGTTGGAAACCCCCCCTTTTTTGACGATCAATGCATTTGAATGGGGACATATAGTTGGAACCCCCTTTATCCTGGGTTTTAAAAATAAATGGCTGGATCCGCCCCTGTGGGACCGATCTAATTGACTTTTTATGTTGAAAGATATGCAGATCGGTCATATGACGACTACATTTACTTACTGCTTTCGTTTGGGTTGAATTTGAATGATTACAGTATGATATAATACTGAAAAAAAACCTATTTCCTGTTACGACACACAAGCTTATTACATTTCATAGACGTACGTAAAATATTTTTCAATAATCAGTTGAAAAGGACTGAACTCATTAGATCGATACAAAGCACAAAAAAACATCAACAAAAACATAAAAGACACAAAGTACAGCTCAGTTACTGAAAGCTAATCAAAAGCCAATAACACCAATTGGTTTCAATGGATTTAGTGTTAAGACGTCATTGACAGTCATAGAAAAACACGACCTTGTGCAATGCCTAAATATATGAATCGACAGATTGTAAGACATTGAATGAACATATGTGTATAACAATAATATTTAGTTTGGTTTTAATTTACTGAATTTGAATGATTAAAGTATGATATAATACTGAAAAAAAACCTATTTCCTGTTACGACACACAAGCTTATTACATTTCATAGACGTACGTAAAATATTTTTCAATACTTCCCATAGTAAGCTATACATGGCCTGATACGACGAATGTAAAACAATTCAAACGAGGAAACTAACGGCATGATTTATGTACAAAACAATAAACGAAAAACAAATATAATATACAGCAACAAACGACAACCACTCAATTAAGCTCCTGACTTGGGACGGGCACATACAGAATGTAGCGGGGTTAAACATGTTTTCTGGCGCCGAACCCTTCCCATTACCTGGGACATTTGTGTTACAGTACAACATAAGAAAAAAACTAAAAAAAATCAGTTGAAAAGGACTGAACTCATTAGATCGATACAAAGCACAAAAAAACCTCAACAAAAACATAAAAGACACAAAGTACAGCTCAATTACTGAAAGCTATTCAAAAGCCAATAACACCAATTGGTTTCAATGGATTTAGTGTTAAGACGTCATTGACAGTCATAGAAAAACACGACCTTGTGCAATGCCAAAATATATGAATCGACAGATTGTAAGACATTGAATGAACATATGTGTATAACAATAATATTTAGTTTGGTTTTAATTTACTGGTAACAAAATCAATAAATATACCGATAGAAACAATATTCAAAGCTGTTTTACAGTCTTGAATTAGTATCTTATTAGAATAAATTTATCTGGATCGGTTGACAACATCGCCGTAAAGATTAGGATGTGATATGCAGTTTTTAATAAGTTTTCTACAGGTACAGCCAATCTTTCAAACCAAGTCTTTGTATATAGGGAAGAATTTAGTAAAGGTTTTAAGTAATTTGTGGTTTTGAAATCCTTGACTTAATAATTTACCAGTAATACATATTATATTACATTCATTTAAATCCAAAACTTCACTACAGACATCGGCATAGTGAACGAGTTGGGATAAATATACATCGTAGGTAAAATAGTGCCAAAGGAACATCACCGTCTAAAATGGAAAATCAACGTCCCTTTTGTCGTACAGTTCTGTGTAAAGTTTCCCTTGTAAAACTGAAGTATTAAAATCTATGGGAACGGACATTATTGTTATTGTTGTTTATATCCGATTTATTTAAAGTAAATTCCTTTGTTTAAAGTTTGACAGTATATTTAGAAAGTTCTTGACTACATAACGAAAAAATGTCATTAAGATAACGGTCAGTTTTGTTGAATTTATCAATTAAATGGAATTTTATACGGGTCTTTACTTAGTTTGGCCACACACACTGTGATTCATAATATTCCAGGAACAAATCTGCTATTAAAGGGGCGCAATTAGCGCAATGGTCTACATGTATTTTTATTTTATCTCAATTAACCAACTCCGTCCTGAATTATCTGGGAGGGAACACAATTCAATGACGTAGAAACCTCAATCTTCCCGTAAATTTAACTATAAAATTGCAATCTCCAGTGCACATACATCTAATATATAAATCCAATTCATGCATTTTCTGAAAATATTCAATAAACGTGTGGTTATAGATAACACAGTGTTAGATTTAGCGATAGCATTGTTTTTGCATGCAATAAACGAATACTCTTTATACATCAATATACCTGTAAACTAAGAAAACATAATCCACATATTGTCAGTTTCTTTTACGGTTGCGAAGGAGTGGTGATTACCAGAAAAAAAAACAGTGTTCGGGTTTTGTGTTACTCAGTCTTTAGTTTTCTATGTTGTGTTTTGAGTACTATTGTTTGTCTGTTGGTCTTTTTCTTTTTTAGCCATGGCATTTCTTTGGTATCTTTCGCCTCTCTTTTACAAGGAAAAGTGCTCGATTAAACGGTGTCAATTTCAAATTCATGTAACCTTGTTCGATATCATACACCAAAAAAGCCGCATGTTGGGAAACCAAAAAATACACCGGAAGTAATAAAAATGGCGGAAGATAAAAGAAAAAAAATCAGAACAACTTCTAATGGTCTCCACCGAAAATGGAATGACCTAATTTTATTCTGTATCCGAAAAACATATTACATGTATGTGAAAACAGGTTAATTTTCATTTTTTTTCACACACTTGTACAGTTATTCAATTGACCACCAACACTGCACACTGGACAAGTTCAGTTACTTATTCATGAGACAATATTCATAATACAGAGAATTTTTGTCGAGCCTGCGACATTTATGTCGCAAATGCGAGACAAAGCAATTCTAGATTCCGTCGTCGGCGTCGGCGGCCTCAACATTTAGGTTCAGTCTATGGTCAAAGTTTTTTAGACATTAATAACTTTGTCAAACCTTCATAAAATTTTATGAAATTTGGACAGAAGCTTGTTTATGACCAAAATACAGTATCCAGAGCAAAATTTTGAAAATGTTTATTTTCATTTTTCCATATTTTACTGATATATTGAACTAGTTTTTTAACAGTTAACATTCAGATTCAGTCTGAGGTTAAAGTTTTCAGTCATCCATAACTTTGTCAAACCTTCATGGAACTACCGGTATAGGAAATTTGGACAGAAGCTTGTTAGTGACCAAAAAACATTATATAGAGCAGAGTTTTGAAAATATTTATTTTCATTTTTCCGTATTTACTGATAAATGGACTTTGTTGGTTTTTTTTACAGTTAACAAGTAGATACAGTCTGGGGTTAGTTTGTTACACATCAATTACTTTGTCAAACCTTCATAGAATTTTTAAAAACTTTTGCAGAATCTTTTTAATGATTAAAAGATAATGTCTGAAGCAAACTTTTAAAAATATATTTCTATTTTCAGTATTTTCCTGATAGATGGACTTTGTTTTTTACAATTAACATTTACAGACAGTCTGGGATTAAATTTTTTTGACATGATAAATTTATAAACCTTCATGGATTGTTATGAATCTTCAAGACCAAGAAGAAGCATCTTAAGAAAAAGTTTGATTTTTTTTTTAAATTCTGTATTTTACTGATAAATGGATTCATTTTTTTAAGTCAACATAACACTGTATTTTACTGATAAATGGATTCATTTTTTAGGTCAACATAACACTTTTACACTGACAGCAGCAATCGTAGGCGAAGTACAGGGTTCCGTGGAACCACTTACGAATTTTACAATATCAAAAAACGCATTATTCAGAAATTTACAGATCATGCGTTTTCGTCTTTTGTTTTTATTTTTTTAGAGAAATATTTATCAACTATGGACTTTTGACGAGGTCCATACGTTACATATGGACCTGTTCAGATTATATTGACCGAGGCCGAAGTCCGAGGTTCAATATAATCAAACGGCAGGCCAATATATAACGTATTGACTGAGTGAAAGTCCATAAGTAATCTATACATATGTGAATAGTGTATTACGGTAATGGACTTCAATGTTCTTTCTGTGTGTTTTACAATTGTATTTTGCAAGATTTTTAATATTGACCGTCAATATATTTATAAATATGCACATAGTGTCCATATACTTAAATACTTTTTTAACCACGTGATCGTAATAACCAATGAAAAAAGAAGAATGGTGGTCTTGAAGTATAGATTCTAGGTACTGAAGTTGTTTATCATCTTAATTACGTATTATAGTGTCTTTTGTTTGTCTTTGTATATTTTTAACCTTTGCTGTTTATTCCATTTATGGTAATTTTCTTTTTACTTGGCTCGGTATTTATACATCCTACCATTTTGTCATTCATTGTGCTAATGTCATTTTTTTTGTATTCTTGTCTTTCATTTTTGCTTCTGTGCTTTGTCTATAGAGTGTCTATATGCCTTTTGTTTTTCATTGTTGACATAGTTGTTTGTTTTTATAGTGATTAAGATTATAACACTATGTTGAGTGCTGTACCCAATTTTTTTGACATTTTTAGCTATTATAAAATTGAGAATAGAAATGGGGAATGTGTCAAAGAGACAACAACCCGACCAAAGAGCAGAAAACAGCCCAAGGGCACCAATGGGTCTTTGACACAGCGAAAAAATCCCGCACCCGGAGACGGGCTTCAGCTGGCACCTAAACAAAAATATGTACTAGTTCAGTGAAAATGGACGTCACACTATGTCTATTTGTTTTGCTCACACATTGTTGTCAGTATAACGGAATTCTATTCGACTGTCATACAAGTGAGAGATTTATCTAACTATAAAACCAGGTTTAATATATCATTTTCTACATAAGGAAATGCCTGTACCAAATCAGGAATATGACAGTTGTCTTCCATTCGTTTGATATGTTTGAGCCTTTGATTTTGCCATTTGATAAGGGAATTTCCGTTTTGAATTTTCCTTTGAGTTCGGCATTTTTGTTATTTTACTTTTATGTACGTCTACAAAAAATTGTATATACAAAACATCTTTTCATTGCCGAAATCATTATAGTTTTGAAGAAAAATGAAGACCTTGTTTTGTTATTTCAGAGTAACCCTATGAATATATAGCATTTTCAGGCATTGAAAATTATCGAGTCGAAACTTTTTCGGGGTAGTCTAGATACAGCGAATAACAACTTCATCCAATCGAATTGCATAAGATTCAGTCCATATTAAATAAGTGTTAGCGGGTAAATTAGGTAGGGAGAAAATGAGAGAATTTAATGACGATTTCTTGTAGTAACGACTAAACAATACTCAACAAAATCTTTTGCTAGAATAACAAACGCCTATGTGTTTGAATTAGCATATATAGTTTTATGATGTATTCCATTGTATTGTCACAAAGTTGGCTTAAGTGGACCGTGGAATAGCAAACATCGAATCCCTCATAAAATATTACCACACAACATACATTTAAAAAAAGTTTAGTATCCGTGGCTTCATTACACATGTACTTGAATGATATTGAATTAATCTTTTTAAGAATAGTTACGAGCACAGTGGCAATTCAGCTTTTGAATGTTTGATGTACGGTGATGTATATGACATTGTCATGCCAATTGCTATACTTACAATTCCGAGGTTACTTTTATGGATATATCTTGATATAGGGCCGCCCAGAGAGCACATGTATCCTATAAAGAAATTGACTTTCTCAATTTCACAGATTAAACTTATTTTGCTCACACATTGTATATTTTAGGAACCCCAAAAAAATAAAACGCATCAAATTTAGCAGTGAGAAAAGAATTGGACTGCTATCTTTTTAGAATTGAAAAGAAAGGTCCAAAATTTATTATATTTGACAAAACTTTAAAATAATTGTACGAATCACTTGTTGCATGAGGCATTCATTCTATCAAAGAATCTTGAATCATCAGGATGTTACACATAGTTTACTTATTAAAAAATATTGCAAAGGAAGCACATGTTGATTTTAAGCATATTGAGGCATGTAAAAATTCATACCAAAATAAAAACACTAAAAACTGAAATTAAAGTTAAACTCCTGTATTATTATGAAACATTATATAAAAAGAAATTTGAAAAAAAATATAATATAGTAGTAAACTTCTTTTTATATAAAACGAAGTGATAAAATAGAACCATAAATAGATTCTAATATACTTGAAAATAGACGTAATATCACCAAGTTTAGATTAAGTGATCATAATTTACTGATTGAAAAAGGGTGACACCTAAAACTTCCCATGAAAAACCGGTTGTGTCATTCCTGCAATATATAATTGAGGATGAGAAACATTTTCTTTTGTAATGCAGGAAAAACTCAACCATAAGACCAGCTTTTATTGAATATTTGATTGAGGCAAATTGTATTAAAAATTTAATGACCTAAATGGTGATGTAAAAATGAAATTTATTCCCTAGCCATCAACACAAATCAGGTAGAAAGCATAGGTTCCTTTATAAAGCAGTCTTTAATACTAAGGGTAGGGGACTCATAATTAAATTACAAACTATTATACTATATATATTTAGGTGTATTAATTCGATTGTTTATTATAATTATACATGCTTTCTTCATGTCATTAATGGTAAACTATGTTTTGTTTGCTTCAGTCACAAATCATATAAGATGATTTATATGACAATAAAGTTTGAATTGAATTGAACATAATTTTACTAATGATAATGTCATAATTTAACTGCAAACATTGTTTAAACTTATTATTTTATCGCCGCTGTGACCCCTGATTAAAAATTACATAGATTTCAACAAAATGGTTTTAACTGCTAAAAATTGAGTATGATCTGTTTTGATTTTGAAATACCAAAAGGAGTTCTAGCTATCGACTTTCTCAATATAATAATTCTATTTTTTCACAACAGTAAATTTTATTTTTTTAAATTTCAGATGGTATAAAAAGAAATTTGAAGAATATCCACGATGCAGAAAAGCAATCATCCCATTTTTATTTTGATACGTTTGATAATCAGTGTGCAACGTATACTTGGTGAACACCTTATTACAATCAAAAGCTTAATGACAGCTTGTGCTCATTTTTGTCTTGTAACAGATTGTTTCGTAAGTTGTGAATTTCCCCCTAAAGAAGTATTTATAATCTTCTATAAATAGCCGAAACTCCTGAAATATTGTAAACACACATGTGATTATTTAACGTTCTATCCAGTCGCTCACTGTTACGTACATTTTGTACACGAAAGCATACTTATGCTCCGTGTTGAAGGTCGTACCTTGACCTATAATGGTTTACTTTTATAAATTGTTACTTGGATGGAGAGTTGTCTCATTGGCACTCATACCACATCTTTGAAAACATCGTGCTTTTTTCTCAGCCTAGATTATAAATATTCATACTTAGTAAGATAATCCAAAAGCAATAATAAAAAAAAATAACTAAAAGGGAGATATGTTCGATTAAATATTAATTAAAACGGAAATTTTTATCTCGGAAAGGGGAGGCGCGACCTTTTCATGGTAAAAGCACATATATGTCTCAGTCTGGTAAAAGGAAAATACCCTAGAGATAAAATATTTTTTTACAATTAGTATGTCTACACATAGCTATGATGCATGGTTACGCTATTTCATCATAGGGGATGCATTGCTTGACAAATATATAAAGCATTTACGACAGTGATTTTTTTAAATTGCATTTGAAAAAAAGTATCGAGTATACATAATTAATTAGACAGCAACCCAATTAAACAACAAACAAAACAATTTACTTCTAAAATTCAACCTACGGTCTTCTACAATGGACATGTCATTACAATATTTTAAGTTTTTAATCCTCGCAAGTCTAGCTATGATCTATAGAATAGTTGTGAATACATGTAAAAAAAAAATATCTTAATAGCAAACAATGAATATTACTTAAAACAAGGAGGAGGGTCAAGAACAAACTTCTAGTAGTCTTTATAGGTATTTATTTTTATGTGTATTTAATACGTCTGTCTGTTTTGTCATGATCGTATATTTTTGTAATCTATATTTAGTATATATATTAATTATACATGTACCTATATATTGTAAAAAATTTGGTTAATAATAGTTGTTTTGAGGTTTATTGACCATTTATACTATATATATATATGCTATATGAGAGAAAGAGAAATAAAAGAAAATTATAAATTTCAAATACGAAAATATTGTTGGCATTTTAAAAGAACGGTCTCTCACAAAAGATTATGTCAATCCAGTATGTTAAGCTTTGAAGGATTAGTACGATAAGGACCTTATTTGACACCCAACATTGAACGGTATACTGCTTCATAACGTGTTTGGTAAAATTTGCTGATTTATATGCAAGGCTATTCTGAATGAATTAATCTACAAAGCGAGAGCACTTTCCACACACATCAGCTAAGAGACGGCTAGCTTTTTTAGAAAAGCTATTAATTGTTTCCTTTGCTGTTCAATAACTCTGTAGTACCTTTAGGTATTTAGATAGACCAACCATGTAAGGACAACTTCCGGACGTACCCACAATCCAAAGAGGTGGATTCTGGATACTTCCGGGAGTATCATGGTCTATCTAAGTACATGCATTCCCCCAAATTTTATCAAAAAAGACCCCCGTAGAATAAGAGGTCCTTTTCAGGATATATACAATTAGGTGTTCCCCCAGGCCTTTGCGTAGTAAAACAATGTTACAGAGAATACATAACAATAGGAAACATCAAAAACGTATTTACACTTACAGATACCCCTCATCATTTCATTTGTAAAGATGGAACCATTACATTGATCTGGAGAGGATCAGCCTGTCCGAAGTCCTCCCAGCTACGAGTAGCCAGGAATGATCTGTCTCGGGCTTCACCCATATTCCTTCCCAATGTGAATGGTAAAACTGGACAAACAATAAACCGCTCACCTTTTCTATATCATGCGGTGATATATCTCCCCAATCTTATCTCCTTTCTCTAAAATAAATCCCTAGTTATCTGCACCCCCTCCCAAGAGAATCAACCTGCCAGGCTGGCATTTCATTGTCCACTGCTTTGTTGATTCCCGAGTTCTACTTCTTCAGATGGGAGTCATACTCAAACTGACCGGCATGGGTTGAAAGTACCCCCTCCATGCCCTCCTTTTGAATGATTCCCTTTCTTTCCCTTTGTGGATTGCATACAATCCCACATACACCATTGTTTTCTAACTGTGGATGATCAGCTATGAGCAACTGCTGACTGTGGAGATTCCCAATGTTCTAAGAAAAAAATGACAGGGTCCCATAACCATGACTGCTCTCCCTCCATCTGTATTTCTGGCCCTTCCCTCTACACTCTTTCTGTCTAGGTTCCAACTTCCCATAACATCTCGTGTGTCCCTGCGGGCATCAAATCAAAGGCACAAGCCCATCCTAAACTTTTAGCTTTAAACAATCGTCCTCTGTTAATGTATATTCTCCTGCTTTGTTTCCTTTGGGAAATATTGTGTTCAAAGATTCCAAGTTGCTAAAATGTGCCTCCAATTCAAGACCAGTGTGGAGACCACTTGTCTTTGGGAACCCACTTCTCTGACAAAGAATCCGGTCCTTGATTATGCACTTCTCTTGAGGATACAGCTGCTTCCCTGTTTGTCGAGCCTGCGACTTTTGTCGCAAAAGCGAGACATAGCACATAGCGATCCTACATTCCGTCTCGTCGTCGTCGTCGTCCACAAATATTCACTCTGTGGTTAAAGTTTTTGAAATTTTAATAACTTTCTTATACTATCCTGGATTTCTACCAAACTTGAACAGAAGCTTGTTTATGATCATAAGATAGTATCCAGAAGTAAATTTTGTAAAAAAAAAAATCCGTTTGTCCGTATTTTACTTATAAATGGACTTTATGTTAGTTTTTCTGCCAGTCAACATTACATTCACTCTGTGGTTAAAGTTTTAAAAATTTTAATAACTTTCTTAAACTATCCTGGATTTATACCAAACTTGGACAGAAGCTTGTTTATGATCATAAGATAGTATCCAGAAGTAAATTTTGTAAAAAAAAATCCTATTTATCCGTATTTTACTTATAAATGGACTTAGTTTTTCTGTCAGTTAACATTACATTCACTCTGTGGTTAAAGTTTTAAAGATTTTAATAACTTTCTTAAACTATCCTGGATTTGTACCAAACTTGGACAGAAGCTTGTTTATGATCAAAAGCTAGTATCTAGACGGAAATTTTGTAAAAAATTTATTTTCTGTTTTTCCGTATATTACTTATAAATGGACTTAGTTTTTCTTCCAGTTAACATTACATACAGTCTGCAGTTAAAGTTTTTAAAACATTTATTAGATTCATAAACCGTCCTAGATTTTTACCAAACTTGGACAGAAGCTTCTTACAATCAAAAGATAGTATCTAGAGGAAAATTTTTAATAATTTTTTTCCCAGTTTTGTTAAGCCTGCGACTAACAGCAACAGTAGGCGAGACACTGTGTTCCGCGGAACCCTTACGAATTTTTTACCTTTAACTGGGTTTTAAGACTGCTGGTGTTTTGCAAGTTATTTTCAAAGATGCCAAATTTGTACACCGGTGCCTTGTAACTGTTCAATTTCAACTACTAGGTTTTGACAGTAAACACTTTCACGCAAACTTTTCGAATGCAATTCCCTTCGAGAACTCCTTATACAATGCGGAAACACAGCCCACAATTAAGAAACAACCCTATTTTCTCCACAAAAATCGTTAATTGATACTTCAGAATAACTGAGAGTAGCCAAACACTGAAAACGTGACCTGTCAGGGTTCACCGATGTCAAAATATCGACTGCTGTTGTGGCTCCTTCCCTTTTTGATTTGGTCCGAAAATCTTCCTTCCCGCTGGAAGGTTTGACCAAAGGCTGCTCACAGTCGCCAATGTAATTATTTTTACGTCTGCTTACCTGCTTTAGGTAGCATTCCTAAGTTAGGTGTGTAGTTTCGCATTTTGGTTCCAGGGGAATTTTTAAATACGAAAGCTAGTGTGCAATAAAATTCATTTTTGAATAGCTGAAGATTAATACAGCCTTCATAATGGATTTTGTGAACATCAAGATAGTGAAATGTCTGTATTATGCCGGGCTGTTTTCTGTATGAAAGTCCCCACCTTTTTGTCGCACGAACTTTGTGATTCAATTTTACGAAAAAAATGAGGCGAAAGACGCCAAATTTTAATTTGATTATTTAATAGATTAATGTCAACAGTTTCGAAAAAGGTATTTCTCAAAGGGTTTGAAATTCTAGTCTGAACCAAATTTTGGGGGAATATGTGACATTTTCATAGTTTCCAACGAAACAACTCTCCACAAGAGACCAAATGACACAGAAATTAACAAATATAGGTCACCGTACGGCCATCAACAATGAGCAAAACCCATACCGCAAAGTCAGCTGTGAAAGGCCCCGAAATAACAAATGTAAAACAATTCAAACGAGAAAACTAACGGCCTAATTTATGTACAAATATGCTTCACAGAAACAAACGACAACCAATGAATTACAGGCATGTATGACACAAACAGCTAGCTTGATTTTAATATTAGAAAGCCTAGAATAGAAGATGATTCAACATTTTGTGGGTCAATTTTGATTTTATTTCCAAACTGTGGAGTGCTACCTGAGAACATTCTGTACCGATGCTCTCGGCTAATGATAGCTGGGCGTCTGCTTTTTATTGTGTCATTCATCCAAAGAGGTGGATTGTGGGTGCATCAATCAATCAGGAGTTGTCTCCCATAGGCTTAGGTCTATAAATTGATTAAGGAAACATATTTTCTCCTGGTCATAGTTGCTTCCAAATGACTTAATCTTTTGTCAATGGCATTGTTTATATGTTACTGTTTAAATGTTCTTCAATCACTCTAATCATTCTAATCATTTACTGTGCTTTATTTTGTAATTCATTTGATTGTATAGCTTAAATTTTGGGCACCATGATTGGTTAATAAAAATATCTTATCTTATCCGGAAGTTCGTCCTAACAGAGTCTATGTACTACAACACTGAGATATATCACTGAGTACATGAAGCTCTGTGTTACTAACAATGTTGTCTGATGTTACTGAGGCCCCTCATGGGGATGTCTAAGTAATCACATAATCACAAATTCTTTGCCAATATAATCACATAATCATTAATTATTTTTTTAAACAAGATAATCAAATAATCAAAAATACAGTCGTCGATTATCAAATAATCAAATAATCATGAAATATTTTGTCTGGTAATCAAATAATCACTATAAAAACGGCCAAGTAATCACATAATCAAAAACCCCACGAGGAGGCTCGTTACTTGACTTCATGATAAATAATTTAAAAGTCAGAGGGAGTAAACTTATTCCCGAAAATCGTTTCTTTTATTTCAATTACCACTCGCTTTATATCATTATATACTAGAATGTATAATCAAAAGTACATAATAAAAACTCTTTGAAATAATCAGGAGCTATCGACCGGTTATGCCGATCTTCTTCAGCGGAACTTTATTATAGGTATAGTAACAACGTTTATTTTATACTTGATCATACTTAGTAATCTCGGGTTGATACGATATGGTATTCTCTAATTTAATTGCATCGTTATGAATAAAGTCATATTGCATTGTATCATAGATCAAACTTATTTGTTCAGTGTATGTTCACTGGTGTTAATGTCTTTTGATTGAGTTAAGCCATTTCAATTGATATTTCATAGTGTGTTTTTCTATGTTGTGATGTTACACTATTGTTTCAGATAAGGGTGAAGGTTTGGTACAATTGAAATGTTTAAACCCGCTGCAATTGTTTGCACCTGTCCTAAGTCAGGAATCTGATGTTCAGTAGTTGTCGTTTAATTTTGTTGATGTGGTTCATAAGTGTTTCTCGTTTCTCGTTTTTTATATAGATTAGACCGTTGGTTTTCCCGTTTGAATGGTTTTACACTAGTAATTTTGGGGGCCCTTTATAGCTTGCTGTTCTCTGTGAGCCAAGGCTCCGTGTTGAAGACCGTACTTTGACCTATAATGGTTTACTTTTATAAATTTTGACTTGGATGGAGAGTTGTCTCATTGGCACGCATACCACATCTTCTTATATCTATATAGTAAATAATTATAATCCTAGGACAAGAACGTCATTTTTTGTTTTAAGGTCAAGGTGTAATAAATAGGCTTTGTCACAGATTTTGGGAAGATTTTGCATACAACGTTGGCTCGTTAAACTTTAACTGAAAATAATGCATTTATTTCTTTTATTTTCTGAAATGTTACTGAGTGAGTTCTTTCTTTTTTTCGATTTTCAAGTTCAACAAGTCAAAGTTCTATTCAAAATGTTATACCCCATGTGAGTTTAAGCAAAAAGTAAAGGAACACTACTCATGATGAAATCTAGTTTTTCTGTT